CAATAAAATTTATCAGGTTTAAAATTTGTAAAGACTAATTTATCATGACCAAACTAATATACACACACACACTAGACAATGAACCTAATCGTGTAGCAGTATATTTGATATTGCATAAATTAGTCAAAAGCTCTAGGTCATTCTTTTGAAATTTAATAAAGAATATTATAAAATATGGATAAAAATGATACAAAATAGTTAATATATGATAAGTATGGTCAAAATCCAAATATAAGGTTTGGTAGTTTATGACCGAGTTAGAACTTCTAATTGAGTCCACATCTGACTGAAACCATGTTGCTTGATTATTTCTTTGACTGACCATAGTAAATGATGAAAAATGAACATATTACCCTTATATTGTCTCTTGTATTGGATAAAATAATTATAAGAGTACAAAAATATGGGTGATTTACTCAATTGTTAAGTGAAGTGATAGGTGCTCAATTAACTTGTTCTTATTCAAACATTTTGTCGAACACTTATTGTGCATTGGTATTATGTATTCCATTTTATGCAAAGAAACTGCAATCGAACAATTATATATAAAAAGATAAACTACAAAGATTCAACATACATAATTGTTATTAGCATGCTTGGATTTTTGATCTTGGTTTACTACAACTATCATGAATGCTACGACATTTTCTTGCATTTGGTGGGAAATTCATCCCTGAAATCAAAAGCTTATTTGTAGTCTTCATTACGTGAACTACCTGCAATTAGAATGTTCCATGAAAAATCTCAAAAGCTTCTTTGTAGTATTCCGAAAACTGTATTCCATGTTAGCAAGTCTCTTTTGTATATCAATTTAAACACTTTTTCATCTAGACATTTGCAACTTCCACACTTGCCATACATTTTAACATGAGAATTGGAAATTGCAAAACTATCTCCTACGTTAAACTTGATTACAAACCCATGTGTTTGTTCACTTGATTCTAGGTTTTCCTGATATTGGAATCCAGTTAAAACACCCACGAATGAAGGTTCGGATATTGTGATTTCTGTTCTCATAAGGTGAGAAAACATTAACAAGCATTCATATGCAAATCCTTAAAGCCCAAAAAAAATATATGATTGCATTCCATATCACTAGATTCTTGAAAGGTATGTCCTCAAATACCCAAAATGATTCACAAATGTAACCTTGCCTCCCAAACGAACCCAACATAGTAGTTCCCACAAAGAATCAGCAAAGAGCAACCCGCTCTTCATGACCGCTGCTTGCAAACAGAATCCTTGCTTCGTGTCTAATGAATCACATGAGAAAAGACTGCCAAATGTGAATTGAGTTGAAAAGAACCCATGATTCCTCAAGTCAGCAAACAAATTAAAAGCTTCATTGTCTTCCTCATTACAACTATAAGCACCAATCTTGGTGTTATAAGAGATGGAATTTTTATGAGTCTATAGAGTGACTTGAGAAAGAAAAAAAGACAATAAAGGAAGGAGGTATGGATGTGGAGGTTGTGTTCTTCCTTGTCTTAATGTTATTATGTGTGTTGGGATGGGTAGGATAAAACGGACATATTACTTTTCGTTCTTAGTCCTTTCCATTTCACTTATGGACGAAATCGGATGAAATTAGTGAACCAAGTCCTAAGTGTTGACCGAGTCCAAGCTCTTAAATGGAGTAACAAACATGCTCATTGGCAATTTTTGGACCCATTCCACTTTTCGACCCAATTTGAACCCAAATCAAACACACCCTAAGTGGAGAAGATTGGAGCAAAGTATGGATTAGATATGGAAGAAATTCGAAGTTGCCTTAAAACATAGGATTAACATCGCGACTGATAAGGATTAGCGACGCAGAGAAGGTTTTTACTTCGGGAACAGTCTACGAAGATCACGTTTAGAGCTGCAAAGACAATGGCTTAGCACTGCTAAGTTTTATTTTCTATAAATAAGAGATTTTCACAATCCAAATCAGTGTACAAAAAAAAATATATACTTTCCTACGAAAAATAAACCCTTTTATTGTTCAGAAGCCATAGGAAGTCGAAGAAGAAGTTCTATTAAAGAGTTGTTGAAGAAAAATTGAAGATTTATTAGGTTTGCAATGTCTAATATTCCTATTATTTGTTTTTCTTGTTTTTCAGTAAACACGAGAGGCTAAAAAACTTCTCTTTAACTTAGATGTAGATGAACTAAAGTATTATGGTGTATAAGTTGTTTTGAAGTTACCTTGTTAAATATCATTTTTTCCTTACAACTAAGTTACATGTAATTTAGATTATCAATCTAGTTATTATAACTCGAATCTTAATAATTTTGAACATAAATTGTTAGGACTAATAATTAAATAAATCCTAGGAGTTAAGTCATATTAATTTGTAATTTGACATATAAGAGAATATTAGTTTAACCAACTATGCTAAGTTTAGTTTTATGAATAATAAATATTAAATAATTAAATAATCCACAAGTAATGAACATTTTCAAAAGATGTTTAGAAGAAGAGTACAATTAAATTGTAATAGATCTTTGTTATGTTTTTATGTAATAGATCATTTTTTGTATAACACGTAATGAATTATTTTTATCTTTTATATTATATTTTACAGGATTTTTTTTTGTGACACACTTAGTATGAATTCATGTTTCCACCCTTACATACCTTGTTGAACATATTTAAAGAAGTGATAAATAAACTCGAATGGTCTTAGTATATTGAAAAACTTGTTTTATACTGGTTTAGATATGGTAAAACAAGTATATAGATATATAGAACAAAAGTTGACATTTAGGTGTATGTATGGATTGATAATTACAAACCTAGCGACGCTATGTATTTCAATGTTAAAAATAGAACATTGTTAAACAAATTCGACAATAATGACGAACCTATGGAATTTTTAAACAAATTCTCATAGATAAATACATATATGATTTGGGTGTTAATTCAACATAACATTGTTAGGGCATCCGTAATGCATTGAACTCTATAGAGTTCAATGGATTGTCACATCATTTTTCTACATTCCATATAACTCAACCAATTTTTTCCTACAATGCATTGAACTCTACAAAGTTCAATATAAAGTTACAAAAGCTAATTTATAGTATGTATTTAAGATTAAAAAACTTTCCTTTTTCCCATTGAATAGTTGAATGACCATTGAACTCCAAATCCATTGAATGCCAAGGTGGCATCTCACTATAGTAGAATTTCATCAATTGAATGACAACTAGACTTGTCACCTCATTCAACCCTCCTATTAAACTCGTCATTGTGGATGTTCTTACTCTTTAAAAACAATTTAGGTCGAAATAATAAACATACATGAGCATACATAGAAATATATAAGAAAAAAAATTCAAATGGAAACTTTCTGTGAAGAATCATAGATAATGAAGAAGAAAATGATTAAGAGTTACACTCAGAGATTTTAAAGAAACAAAAGAAAATAGAGTTTGTGTTTTTGCCTAGAGTAATACATACGAGAGAATGAAATATGGAAAGAGACTTCCGAAAGGGAAATAAACAATTGAGGAGGGTTTTATTTGGGGAGAATGAAAAATTGAGAATAAGATTTTATTAAAATTAGTTGTTATGTAAAACCAGTTCTAATACTTATGTCAGAAAGTATTAGTTTTGTTTTTAACTAAAGTTGTAGGGAATCGCATATTAAAGATTGGATGTGTTATATATAATTACCTGACTACACATAACTTTAAAAACTTTATTATAAATTATTATCTGCTATTAATTTTTAATAGTTAATATATATATATATATATATATATTATATATCTATATATATATATATATATATATATATATATATATATATATAACCTGTGTATTACACGGGTTGATTAAATAAGTAATTTTAAAATAAAGAATGAAGAAACATATTAATTGCAATTTAATATAATATTTATTTTATTTGATACTTTACATATATAAGTATAAATATTATGTGACTTTTTAATTTTAAAAGTTGAAAAAAAAACTATAAATTAATATGTGGATATTATTTATTTAAAAATTTTCACAAAATGACAAGTATCAAAAGTCATTAGAGATTGATATGTGACAAAATTATCTTCATTTATTATAATAGGTTTTCACAAATGTACATACAAACACGACCTAAATACGAACTACGAAGGATCCGAAACTTGATTGAAAAACAGAATCATAGTAAGCATTACACAACGCGATGATAATAATGTCATAATTTCAAGTGTGAATTAAAATTGTACATGTTTAATTTGCGCATTAGATAACAAAAATTAAATTTTCAATTCCAGTATATACGATTTTCATTCATTTTGTGTTCTTTGTTTTATGATTTCATCTTAAATTCTATAATCACCTAACATATTACGATTTCATTCATTTTGTGTTCTTTGTTTTATAATTTCATCTCAAATTCTATGATCACCTTCTATTTTAATATGCTAACACATTTATCTTTTTCTCACATCATATTAAACCACACCCACAAATGAGAATACTAAATGACAAAACACATAGGACAATAGATCTTCCAAATGGAGAAACTCATAGAATCTTGAAAAAAAACTTCAAATATGTATGAAAGAAACCTCATATCAACAATACTACATTAGTAACATGCCATTTTTTTGTCCAAAACATAAACATACAAGGTAGGCATCATTTGATTACGACTTTACAATATTTTGAGATCATTATAATCATATTTCAAGAAAAGGATATACTATTTTTATGTTAAATATAAAAGAACCTAATTGATGCTACAATCACTTTGATAATAAACATCTAAATTACCCAAATGGCTACCCTATGTTTTCTCATTACTTGAGAACAAATATATAGAAACTTATAGCATGTCATAATATTATATGAGAACAAATAACAAATGGTATTCTACAATAAGTTTTTTACAACAGAAAAAGACGACATCAAATTCAAAAGATAAATATTAAATATTAATCAACACAAACATGAACATGAACATGAACACGAAGAACAAATATCTTTAAAAAGACTCAAACCTCAAGATTCAAGATTCAACCGAGCTACCAAGCACAAAGGAAAAGAGTTCACGAACAGGAGAGTATTCCACCAATCCAATATCCATCGCATATCCGGTAACAGGCAACTTCAAATCCCTCAAAACTGTAAAAGCTTCAGCCATTCGATTCTTTGGAACCTCTTCAGCAACAGGACAGAATGGAATCCATGAATCTGGGCGATACTCTTCACCAATTTCAATACCTTCCCTCTTCATCGCATCACATAATTGGAAATGGAATTGAAGGAGGGGTAAAGTAGGAGTTGGAGCAAGGAATAAGACATTGTTGTCATTTGGAAGACTTCCGATTGAACCAAAAGATAAGGGTAAAGGGTCTTGCTTTGATGCAAAACCTTTTACGATGTTTTCAAGCTTTGATGGATCGATAAAAGGGCTAGAAAAGAGAGTAATATGAGGTCTAGATTCGATTTCTATAAGGTGAGTGCTAATTTGGCGACGAGCGACCACATTCCATGCCTTTAAAACTTGGTTTTCAAGAGCGGGATCAAAATAAAGCTCAATTGCATACCCCTCAGACATTGGGTTAAATTGACAAAACAAAAAAAATAAACTAGGGTTTCAAAATTCGAAGGTTAAGAGGCAAGAATTAGACCTAATTAGCAATCAACGAGATAATTGATTATAACAGTGAAGAGTACAACATAACTTACTTCTCGGAATTAGCTTTAGATCCACTACGTTAAGAGCTACGAATTTGGGAAGGGGTTTTGGCAGAGCAAACCCTAAAGATTGAAAATTCGAAAGAAATAACTAAAATTGGGACATACCCAGTTGCGATTTGAGGCTTTTGAGTAAAATAGCAGAAAGGGTAAGTGAAATTAGGGGGATTGATAAGAACTGAAGGAGCAAAGAGAGGAACTTGGACAAGGGTTTTAAGGAATGGAGTCACAAAAATGAAGGGGCGAGAACATCGGGAGTTTGGCGTTGATAATTGGTGGCCGATGGTCGATGGATGCAAAGTCAAAGAGGTAAGAAGGTTAGGGTGAATTCCATAAATGGTCCCTTGAATATTAGGTATGTTTCACGATTAATATTATTACTATTTATCCTATATAATTGGTCCTTGAATTGGTATTACATTTTGACTCCACTTGTTATTGTTATAATTTATCCACTTACTTATAAATGAATTACTTTTACTTATATTTTAATTAACAAGTGAAGTAGGTGAAATAATAAATTTTAGCAATCTAAATCAATCGAAACGAGGTGGATTTAAGGATGTTGGGGCATTGCAGGGGCACTTGATGGTTTATATATATATATATATATATATATATATATATATATATATATATATATATATATATATATATTCCCCACTTAAGTTGTTTCTTTTTTGATATAGAGTTCCCTCCATGAAATTTGGGCTATGTTTTAAAAGATTTGAAGTGTTGGGGCACCATGAGCTCCACACACACAATTCATCATCTTCTTCAATTTGATGTTTTGTTGGGATCATCTTGAAATCTCTATTTTAATGTTTTTCTATAGTTAAACAAATGTAATTTCATGTTGTGTTTGTACTTTGAATGTGAACCTTGAAGTGTTTCTTGAAAGGAGCATTATTTCTTAGAATGATTTGATTTCTAGGTATGTAATGATAAGATTGTAAACGATTCCCAACAAATGTTTGACAAAATACCTGGAAGAAATGTTTCTATATTTATTGGAAGATCCGATTGGTTATGTTAATTCAACTTATTAGTTTTTATATGGAGATCAAGCTTGTTTTTTCGGTGATTAGATTCATTTGGATCTAAAGCATTCGATGATATTCATAATTGACATAATTGTTGGGTTATTAACATAACATCAATCCTATGGTGCACATGAAAACCCTAAAGCTTTGGATCTAGGTTTTTCTATTTGTACATGCAATAATCTTCCAAATCTCTCAAACCCTAGATCTAGCATATCAAAATGGAAATCAACATAAATAAATTAGTAAGAATGTTACCTTTGATTGTAGCTTGATGATCTTGAGCTTTCGAGAACCTAGCACCTCAAATGTGATGCCTCTAATGAATCACAAACACCGAAGCAATTTGATGATCTTGGAGAGAGAGGTGAAGGTTCAAAACCGGCTCTATAATCCTTAGGGTTCAAGTGGCCGGTTTTGGGATGACAAAGGGGTCCTTATATAGCTGAAGAATTAGGGTTTCAGTCAAATACCTCATCCGATTGCTTAGGCTCTAAGCAGCCCACAAGAATCTTCCAGAACCTTAGCCCTTGGATGAAATCCTTATGGGCTCCCATAAGATTTCTTCCAACCCCTTCCAAAGGGTTCCTCAGCTCATTATGCAATTATCTTATAATTACAAGTTCAGTCCCCTTAATTCAATTAACATCTTTTGACCACAAAATTAATTCTAAATTAATTCTTGACCAATGTTAATTAAATAATATGATTTCTCTTTTAATATATTATTCATATAATATATTAATAAACCATAATAACCTCTTTCTCAATTATTCATCCAGTCAAGTTACCCTGGTGAAGGCAACCCAAAAGGACCATGCTACAATCGGGACAAGTACATACCAAATATAGTTATGTCTTAGACACCTAATCCAACAATAATAATCTCTTATGTTCCTACAACATCAAGCATACTTGTATACTAGATGATAGTTTGATGTTAAACTGTTATTTATATTTTCTATATGTTTTGGTGTTAAACTTTTAATACACGAGAACTAGAGAAGAATGAAACTTTTCACATTTCTAATTATCATTTGCATGGATAACATGTTACCTAATTGATGATGTTTAGAAACAACCCTTTAGGTATGTATAACTGTTTTAACCTGGCCCAAATTTTTTAACCATTTTGACACCACCCGAAAAAATTATTTGTTGGATATTTTTTATGTCTCTAACGTTTGAAATTTCTGAATCCTCTATTGGTCGAAACTATTAATATGTATAACCTTTTGAATCATTATTTTCAAATTATATAGTAATGTTATAACATTTATAGTTTGAGTTAGTTACAACTTTTTTTGTCATTATGTGAAGAGTTATGGTTATCATCCATAAGTTCCATCGGTTGCACAATGTATCATTAATGTTTAGTTGTATTGCATATGTGCCCCCAACAAAATGGTTGGTTAAGTACAAAGTCAAATGATCATTTTGTCTAGTTTTTCATCCCATTTACCCTTTTTAAGAAATCAAGAAAATTGAACTAATAAAATGACACAAAGGTTTTACATCGTCCAAGGATAGGAATCAGAGAACTCTTTCTATTACTCGATTGTTTACAAAATTATACATTAGGATCCCTAACTACAAATACTTATATCTATTAACCCTAAAACTGTAATACCCATTTCCTGGTATTTTTTATTTTCAACCCAAAATCTATTTTTCCTTGCAAATTAGGTCTGTACGTTGGCCGTACGTGGAGTGTACGACGGGCGTACAAGTTGATTAGAGTTGTGTGTTTTGCTGAGTACGTTGAACGTACTCAGGGGTACGCCGGGCATACTCGAGGTTGTCTCAAACCCTAAAATTTGGGGTGTGACCCCTATATAAGGTCATTAACTCTCATTGGACCCTCTTATAACCAGCCTCCACCCCTCTTAGCCCCTATCTCGAAACCCTAATTCTTGTGTGTGATTTTTGAAGCTTTTTAGTGACATTTTGGTGTTCTTGGTAGTGAAGTAAGACCTTTGGAGTTGTGGTGTTGCACACAAACTCTTGTATCCAACATGTAATCATCTTTGTGCATCTTCAGTAGGTATAAAGTTCAAATCTTGATGCTTGGCTTGCTAGATCTTGTTAGGTTACAAGTTATGACCTTTTGTCCTAAAACCCTTGGTATTAGGAGTATAGTCTACCCCAGACCATTTGAGTTGTCCTTTTAGACATTTTTGGGTGTTTGGTGACATAAAAATACAAGCTTGGTCCTTTGTTTTCTCTATGTAAGATTTATGGGGTGTTAAATGGTTATATGAGTTAGGGTTTTTGTTTTGAGCTCCTTGTAGCCATGCAAAGGCATAAATGTTGCAACTTTAAGATTTAAGACGTTTGTTAGGGTTAGATCTGAAGTTGGGACGTTAAGTCTTTAAGTATTAAGACATTAGTTGAGAGTTTGGACCTCAGGGTATTACGTTGGGTGTAATCCTGAGTGCATTGAGTGTAGTCAGTCGCTGCCCCGCAACCCTTCCAAGATTGTACGATGGGTGTAATGAGGAGTACGTAGGGCGTACTCCAAAAAAATCCCACTTGGGGCATTTTCGGCCTTGGGTCGTTAGGGGTTTTGGGCCTTGCATTTTGGGTCATGCATGGGAAGGGCAAAATGGTATTTTTCCCTTGGTAAGATTAAATATAATTTTAGATAATTGATTATGGGTTAAAATCTTGATTATTAATTAGGGTTGTCTTTGGGTTTTTATTAGTATGAGGAGCTGTGATAGTAACATCTCGAGTATGTGATTCATTTATATTCAGTTAGAGGTAAGTCTTCTCACTATGCTTGTGGGTCGAAGGCACCAATGCTGGCCCACCAGATTGTTTATGCAGAATGTTACTCATTATGTGACTCTTACATGTTTGCATGATTGGGTTGAAATAAATCCTAGGGCTGGGCCCATAAGTATATGATGAGTTGAAAGAAACCTAAGGCTAGGACCATATTTGTGTATCAGGGTTGGAATATACACAAGGGCTAGGCCCAGTTTTCTATTTGGTATGTGGTACTTTGAGAAACTCACTAAGCCTTGTGCTTATAGTTTACGTTTATGGCTTCAGGTACTTCTGGTATGAAAGGGAAGGGCCCAGCCTGATGGCACAACATCCTCCCCTCATGATTTCCACACTATATTGGATATTTGTACTCTGATGTTTTTGATATTGTATTTTGTGTTTGACTTAGAGATATTTGATGACTGAAACTAATGGATTTAAAAACAAAAGCTTATCACTGATTTTGGGTCGTTACAAGTTGGTATCAAAGCCTTGGTTTGAGGGATTCGAACACACTTTCAGGTGTGTCAGAACTCAAACTGAAGAAATCATAATATTTTTCAAAAGAAAATTGAATTTCTAAAAAGATTTATACTAAGTAAAAAAGGGGTGTGATGCATGAAATCAGTGGAGCTCAAGTAAGTGGTTCCCAAGATACCCATACCCATGTGTTTAAGATATGTGAATTGCATCCTAGTGCAGGGTTAAGAATACCCTCAAGAATCATATGATAGAATTGATGGGTTTTGAGCATTCTAACACTCCTATGGTGTACATGCAACCCTAGAAACCTTGGATCTATGTTTGACTAAGATACATGCAAATAATTATTTTTTCCAAGGTTCTTATCCTAACTAGCATGGCATGGGGTACTTGAATCAAATAAAACTAGTAGAATTACTTACCTTGTAGTAGTAGTTGATTGCTTGGAGTTTGAGAGCCTAGCACCAATAATGTGGATGCCTCAAATGGAAGTCACAAATCACCACAAACTTGGAAACTTGAGAGAATAGTCACAAACTTCTTGAAATCGGTCCTCTTAGTT